GCAGTCATTTGTGCCCGTGGATTCTGTGGGGTGTACAGGAAAACCAACACCAAAATTTTGAATGGAAAACATAATGAGAAGAGACCACCATGCCTTAATCCTGGTCCTCTCACTGTAAGTATATAATTTTCTTTGATAAGATCTTCATTTAATGATCTAAGATCCTCCGCTATCACCTAGAAGCATTTCTTACTACTAAGTCTAGATTTTGGATCCTCTCTATTCATGACTATTCATACTATGATCTGAACATCTTCTGAGGTTCTGATACAGCCACAGTCTCAAATTTGTTACTCAGGCATACAAGGAATTTCAGATCCTTATGAAGTGAAGACTCGTGGCTTTGCATTGGGACTTCGCTTTAATTTCTGTTATAAGGCTTCAGACTAGCAATATAACGCCAATTTCCTCTGCTGCAGACCCGAAAAAAGTTTCCTCCTGTTCCTAGATTAACCTCTGCTGTTTACATGACACACAGTACCATGTTTACTTAAATCCAAATTACCGGGTGTTTCTACATTCCCAACAATAACACCAATCACACAGTACAGCCAGACTGACTTTTCTATGGCAACTCCTGGATAACTCATTACTTTTACCTGCCATATCTTAATGTTTCAGAACATTATGCAGTGTATGGCAACTAAAAAGACTTACACCTATAAACACTGAAATACACAAGACTTACTCTGTTTCACTTCACTAGGATTTACTAATTATGTAAACCCTTTGTTTATAAAATGTGAAATTTTATAATAGTATGAATTATACTTGTAATATGTATGTATTGTATTATTAATACTTTTCCCACATCTTAATGTCATCTGACTTACAAATCCATGGAATGTAATGAAGATGGATGGATGGTGCATGTACAGAACTGAGTGTTCTATTCTACTACACTACAGATCACTTGAATTTACCTTCAGTATCTTACACAATACACTACGAAAAATATTCACTTCACTTTCAATCACTACAGGTCACACTTTCTAGGATTGAGTTATCACTTACGGTATGTTGACTACAAGAATTTTGAAGTAACACTATATAAATAATACAAAACAGAGCTTGTGCTGATATCAAATAATGAAATAAACTTTGCTTTATTACAGCTTCCAGAATAAAATGACTATCAACGCTTCCAGCTTGCAAGTAAGAATAAATGAACCAATTAATGTCAACAAGCCAGTTACTTTCATTTTGGTAGGAACTGTATAAAATTATGGCTATTAATATATTAACTGGTTAAAAAAAGCAAATCAGTCCAAATTGTCTTTAGATGGCTGTCTTCTGGGTTGTTGCGCCGTGTAATCTCATATAAGTTTTCCAACATTTCAGAGGCCTTTGCTGCTTCCATCATCAGGGCAATGGGTGAAAACCTCAACTCACCGTTCCAGTTGATCAGTGAACACACTGTACTATCAGAATAATGTATTCTAGTATGATGCGCCCTGTAATACGATATCAGTTTACCTCTAACATGCCCATACATTTCCACCACACTAAAAGACGCATAATCCCATACAAGTCATCTCCACACTCGATGCCTTGAGAACTTGAAATCTCACCTACAAGCAACATGTAGGATAACGGCTTGTTCAAGAAACAAATGTTGCTTGAATTTTTTAATACGATCAATTACGAACAAAAGGTAAAGAATTGTATGCAAATGTTACCTCAGACATGGCTTTCAACATCTCCAAACACCTACAACACACCTCACGCCTTCACCTCTTGATCACAGAAAATACCAGTGACAATTCAAACGATAGATACAGCATCAACATTCTAAGCTGGCTGTACAGATAGCGCTGTGTACACTGTGCATACCGTCAAGATTTGTGCAGGAGAAATTCTTGACGTGTCGAAACGGAGTTGTTAATTATAGTAGGAATTGTCTTTTGTTGACAGACATAAATTAATAGAAACTGCTGACGTAGGTAAACATCTCATAAAATTTGGCGCCAGACAAGATCTGCGTGTAAATTTACAAAGACAGGAGAACAATGAATGCGTGGTAATTCATTACCACGAAAACGCACTTTAAATGCAATAGAGACGGAATTGCAACATCCGGCTACTGAACTCCACAGCGACTATTCCAAAAGTAAAACTGCAGACACTAACTTTGTCACAAGCAATCTTTGTTGCCCAATACTGATAAGAATCCGTTTAAACACGATTGCCAACATGAAACGTGTAAAATATAGCATAAAACCATCCGTCCTTGCAACTTCAGCTCGCCGGTGCGAGGTAACCATCAGAACCGGATATAAAACTTCGAGAAAATTCATGTATACAACCATATTATTTCCAAAGACATTGCACATTGAACACCATGCACAAACAAATATTCTGACGGGTAGAAATTTACCTCCAAAATTAAGAGTGCATTCAGATTGACTCTATGGAGCACAGACCTTCTTGAGTTAAGAAATTCCCCACTCTTTATTAAACAAGGGGTTCGGTGCTGTTCTCACATGAGCCAATAATAATGTATATAAACAGAATATCCCAAAAACATGTACACACACTTTCAATAAATTATGCAGACATTTTAATAAACTAAACCATTACATATATCAGCATTGGCACTTTGTGTATTAGCGATTCAAGTGTTCAAAATGATCACTGTTGGCTTCATGGCACAGTTGACAGCGATAAGTAACTTAATGATTAGCAGCCAACCAAGTTGCTGCTGTGTATACATCTTGCTGGGACACTGTATATATACCACAAACATAAATGAAAATATAATGTCCGTTACTTTTATTCTAAAAATTCTGGCTGCTCCAAAACATACTTAGTGTTGAAACCATCCACTTTTCTCTAAAAGTTTCTGCACTGTTGCTTTGCTTTTGTAACAGAGATAACCAAACTTCCCAGTCGGATGCAAAGGCTGCAAAGATTGGCATACCATACTATGACCATAAATATAACATGTTGGAAATGACATACTGATGCGTACTATCTGTAGCTTTGAATGCCTGTACAATGGATGAGACTCTTATACAGTCATATGTAAGAAATGTAAACATGTCAACAGCATTTAATGTTTACTCCACTGATCAAAATATAAAAATTACCTCTTACCCTTAGCAAAATATTCCAACATCTGTCCTGGTAAAGGGCTGAATATTAAGCTGCTAATCTTTAAAAATGTCCTTAATGTTTACATTTGCATCTCTCTGAGCATCTTGAAAAGATGATGCTAGACTATTTGTTTCTGCTTTGGGTACATTAACTGCATTCTGTCTTTCATCGTTCAACACATCAACTGCAGCTGCGTATAAGTTTTCTTCAACTGTTTTGCCTTCTTCTCTTAACTTGTTATATGTTGAGATAAATTTTTGAGTTTGTGTTGGAATATGCTGATCAGATAAATTAACAGCTGGCAGAGACTTATGCTGTTTGTGGAACTTCCTAGAATTAATGAAACAGAAATTTAATAATAGAAGGTACAGGCGCTATTTCAACATTTATCTTATTTTATGTTAAATGTGGAATTACTTAAGAAATATTTGAATAACTGGCCTTAGACAATGTAATGTGTGAACAAGAAAGAGGGATATGGCAGCAATGGAGGATGAAAAGATAAGAGGAAGATGAGGTGCGAAAGTAATACACTATGTAATAACTTACGCTCTGATAATATCTTCAGGATAAAATAAGCTTCTTAACGGAACATCTGGTGCAGGTCGATCATATCTTGGTTCATACTTTGGAGGAAATGCTTTATATATATCATACCAGATAGGTTTATCTTCTTGTCTCATAGCCCCAGACCTGAGAAGGCCTCTCACCCTGTGAAGGAATGACAGTGTATTACAGCTGAGAATGCTACAAAGCAAGTTCTTAATCCTGGAAGGATTTTTAGAATGGTAATGTACACATAAAGTGCACAATTCCCAAATCATACATAATAAAATTTAAATGTTGCCTACATTCAGTTTCAACACAATGTTCCTTCATTTATTTGTTTTGATGCTCCTTTAATCTACATGCTGAGCAGAATGTATAAGCACCTTTTTGCACATGCAGTGCTTATGAACTTAGTACAAATACTGCTAGTCTCACACACGTAATACATTACAACATACCAATGAAATGTAAACATAACAAGCTCTGGGAATATTTTATGACACTTTTTCTTAAATGTTCTTACCTGTATGGAGGGTCTAGCAATCATACAATTTAGTGAACCACCTCAGTTCACAATTTCTTCTGGTACAGATCACAACCATGATAAAATTGTCAATGTGACATTAAGGTTTCACACAAAAAGTTGCACATTTTTTGAAGACTTATGACACAAAATTTCAGGACCCTAGCACTCTTACCTGAGACGTTTGCAAGGCTGCAATGGTGGAATTACATGGTAAAAGAAGGTACAGTGCCTAAAGACATAATGTTTATACAAAGTTTGATGAAAATATGTCAGTTAAAAGATAGCTGTCGTCATACTCAATACCGTCATAACCTCAAATCCTACATATGTTAACTGATTCAAAAGTTATTACGACGAGCTGATACTGTAAGGTAACAAGAGGTTACATGTTCTTCTCATTGTAAATAAAAGCTATGGTTTCCTGTTTATTAAATAGAAGCCTGGTATTTCAAGAAAATTCTGATTATGCTCTGTATTCCAGAGAAACAATTGCGAATGTAGATTTATGGGACTTATAACCGTATTACTCTACGAACTGTAAAAATGGAAGGGGACAGATTCCTCCAAAATGATGTTAATCACAAGACAAGGCGTCATAACCCATACAAAGTAAATAACACTAACCTTGAATATATCGTACCAATTTTCTCTAACCTACTCGACGCCATTGTCCTAATCGCACGTCTTCTCTCAGACAGACATCTTAAACCACAGATTACTGAATACCAAAGAACAGACAATATAAAAACTTACCACCCTGAGTGATAGGCTGCCCGGCGTACGTCATAGAACCGTCAAGTAACCAATCTAACATGACCTTTATATCAGTCACCTGTTGTATTATTTGTAATAAAAGGAGGATATAGAGTAGCAAGCCCTTTCCATATATAATTTTAGAGTGGTACAAAATATTATCTGTATAGGTGTTGATGCCCCATATTTCTATTTTTGTTAAGTGCTGAACTAGGGGTTGGTACATGTTTGGATAGGTTTTGACACATCCAAATTGGTTCAGATATATTGGGGCAGGTTTGGAGATACTTAGACAAATTCAGACAAAACCTGGCATGTTTGGACAGGTTCAGACAAGTTCATAAATGCAATGAAAATAGCTGTCAGAGTTTTGAAGTATGATTTGTTAATGTATCATTTTCCTTGTAATAAGAATTACATTCAAGGGATGATGTATTGTAAAATACAATCTGAGATTTACAAAAATCTTCAACAAATATATTTCAGAGTACAGAATGGCATAACAATTACAATCTACAATAATTAATAAAAGTTTCACACTTTTCCAAAAAAATAAGCCTATCATGCATTTAAATTACAAATAACAAAATAGAATAAGAGTATTTACAATCAGCCACTCATTCTAGTCTAGAAGCTAGTGTTAAAAAAATAAATGTGTTCATTGTTACTGTTATCACAATTCACAAGCCAGAACACTGTAATACTGTAACAAGTAACATACTAAAAGAGTCCAGATCTTTTTATAAGAAACTACTCTAATATATAACACCAGTATTTGCTTCTGTGCGGCTTGCAATGAAGTTTTGATACTCAAACAGGCAACCGGCCTCTAGACACTAACCTAAAACTATCAATAATTTGGTTCTATTATTTTTCCCTTCTTGTAAACTGTGTTCAGTCCCTGATATCTCTCAAAACTTTAAATAAATCAACATCCGATTCTTGAATTCTCTGAACTCCTGAAGATGCGGAGAACCTATTTAGCCATTAACTTCCTTCATATGTGAGGCAATTTTATTATAACAATCATCTTCATTGTAACTATTTTTCAAACTTTTCAATGTAAACTCATATTATCCTCCTTACTACAGAATTTATCACTTGTTTTAAACAGCATATATGTTGTCAATGTTGGTCTTTTGTGATTAAGGAGAAAATGATTAGGTTGACAGATGCCCCCGCAAGGACACCTTCCTGTGTCTGGGTGCGTGTGTCACATTCCTCAGTTCTGTTGAGGCTACACAACCCTTCAAATTGAAACTGTGAATGGAACGCATCACGTACTGTTCTATGCTAAAAATTTTAATTTATTAAGCAAAAACATAAACAACTCCACGACGGTAATCTTGAGACTTGTGGGGTGAAGGAGGAAAGATGGCGTCTGCCTTTAACGCTACGGACTTCCTGCATTCCTTGCAAGTCTCAAGATTACAGTCGTGGACTACAGAGATGACCTCGTTGGAAAGGTGAAGATGCTAAGTAAATTCCCTACCTCTTTTATTACTGAGATCACAAGAGACAGCCACTGGACCTTCCTATCCTGGGTTATATGAATCCAGTCCATACTCTACATCCTTAAAATCAGTTTTGATATTATCCTCCATGTGTGTCTCCAAAAATAATTTCTTCTCATTACGTTGTCCGACCAAAATTTGTTACGCATTTCTACATTATACTATGCATGCTTTACGCTAAATCCATCTCATCTCCCCTGAAAATAAACAGTATAATGAAGAACAGAATACAGGTCAAAGCAAATAATAACAAATCAAAACTATATTCACACAGAAGTTAATAGCAGATTAAATGTGGAAAATTTTAATAATAAGGAATTAAAGCACTTGGGAGAAATAAGTACTGATGGGACAGTAATATCAAAATGAAACAAAAGAATTATACTCTGCCATTCCCCATTCCAAACTTAGGCAAAGAATCTCTGGCATCAAAACTATAACATTACATTGATTTAAAGCGATAGTCTGCATAACAAAGCATATTCTGTTTCGGTACAATCGCAACAAAGATGTGGCAAGCTCTTTGATAAATGTTATTGTCAAATTCTGTCACATCCAGTTAACAATGTTATGAGTCAGGATGAAATTTGAACTCTCATGGGTAAAAAGATCTGGGAATTTTCCACCCCTCATTTCTTCAGGATTGTATTACAATTAAACTGGAATAAAATTCTCAAGTTGTCAACTAGACGTTTTAAATTTTCAGGCAGCCATTAATATCAAACCGAGTTCATTGTCAGAACAATATGCTCGAACAATGACCTCAGTTCACTCTGTTGCAACCAGGGTAGTGGAAGCATGGGTCGCACTGGCAAGGCATGGGAGATGTGGTCCATGGAGCAGCAAATATTGAGGGCTTGGCCCCAGTGAGAATGCATGCTGGGGAAAGGAATGGGTGATAAAGCCCTAGGGGTGGCAAATCTGATCTTATGGGGGTTTCTGGGAAACACTCGTAGAGTTTCCCCATGGTGTGTAGTCCCATGGGAGGTCAAACTGTGGTAGTTGAATGGCATCATACCCAGGGTAGCATTCCAGTGATGGTCTAGCCCATCATGGCAGAAGCCCTACAGTGTCAAAGCCCAGTGAGGGCAAAGCACAATTTTTAAGAAAGCCTCAGTATGCTAGTCCCCAATGAGCATGCATAATGGGCATTAAAGCCCCTGGAGATAAAAGTCTGGCTGGGAGGACATTACCATGGATTGTCTCCAGGGGGGAATTGTCCCCAGATATGGTCTTCCCAAGGCCTGGGTGATGTAACCTGAGATGATATAAACCTTTGAGGGTGGGGGGAGAGGAAGTTAACAGGCACAAGCCCTGTGGGCATAGTCCCAAGCCGAAAGGGAAGCCTTGGAGGATGCCCAGTTTCTAGGCCAAAAAAACAACAGATGAACAGACGGATGGATGGTCGAGCCCATAACGTGATGCTTGTTCATGCTATAGCTTGCAGAACATCTAATGAATACTGGGTTCATGCTATAGCTTGCAGAACATCTAAGAAGTGAATGGAAATGAATACTGGATCAGCAACTGAGTGTGCTGCAGGCTAATTCCAGATTGTACTTATGATGCATGACTGGTTTCCAGAAAGAATGAATGTGGGACATTCACATTCATCTGCTAAATGCACCTAAGTATTATTCTATTCTACTAAATGTGATACTGTATTGTGTCAAATCTACAAGTAAAGGGAAAGTGACCTCTGTGCCTAAGCACCAAGCCACAGAGTTGCATGTGATAGCAGAGGTAAAGTTCCATTCATTCTGAACCTCAGCACAATACAGGTCGTTTGATTAAACACAAATTATTTTACACAAAATACATTTTTCTGGCAGGTCAGCTGTTAAAAATTGTTAATGTCAAGTCTCTCACATAACATATATATATAAAAAAAAATTAAACAAAGACAAAAATATAGTGATTATATTCCAAATTTCTGGGTTTAGAATGAAAATATTTTTCAAGATGGAAGTGTAGATTGCAGTCTTTTTCTGGAATGTCTGAAGTACAGCCTTCGTTTCTGTATAGCGAGTTCCAAACCAGTAGTCTGTGACTTTCAAAACAAAATATGAACTTCACATATAATTTTTGAACATTATGATTTTGCTCCTACCTAAAACTATCACATTTCTAATAAAAATGTAAGGGCATGAAATTTCTATGCTTGATGTATATCAATGACAATGATGACGCATGAACACTTTCAACAGGACAAGTTTCAAGCACTTATATCTGGACTTTGGTATTTCAAAATTTGTACAGATCAATTTTCATTATGAACACTTCTAACAAAGCAGATGAACTGAACTGAACTGTTTCTGGACATTGGTATTCTACGCACCCTCCACCAAATAAAATAAAAGTATTTGACACTTCTAACCAGTTCACTGTTCTCTTGACCGAATCCAACTAAATCGGAAGATTCGATCATTTTAAGAATAAATGCGATTTCACTGATGCACTTACCTGGCACGATATGGTTATGTGCATAATTGTGGCACCAATTGGGTTGTCCGGGGGATACGACGGGAGCCGATTCATTATGGAATTACTGTTAAGAGTCCAGAAGTTAAGCTTCCAGCAAAGAAAAGGTGAATTCTATGCTTTCCTTTCTGAAGGCAACAACTTGTATCTGAATCACTACTCCACTCCTTCCTGCGAGTTATCACTACTTATATGATTGGCCAGCAGGGCTGATAATGTGGCGATAGATGTAGACAAAGACATTGTTCCTGGGGCTGCTGCAGCTGTATGGAGTCCCATCGTGTCCGCGTGTGTATATGTTGTAACCAGGCCGTGATGTGATGTGGACACAAGACCTTGTGAACTTATCATTGCAGATGAATTTCTGGATGACAGGAGATCATGATAGGACCCATCTGGACTCACTTCTTGCAAGTTCATGTATGGGGACCCATCAGAATTGTGGGAAGTTAACATGGTCATTGTTGTGGGGCATTCTAGCAGCTCCAGAGCGTTTTCTGACGGGGTTGGAGGCCCTGGAAGGAATGCACATTTAACATTACAGTATTTATATCCTTAAATCTTAAAACTCAAATGGGCCAGGCAGTGTATGTTTTATTTTTGTCTGTGCTGCGTAAATTTTCGCAATACTGCCTCAAAATGTTCACCCTGAAACTCTGGTGCTTGCAGTTTTGGAAGTTCATTCTTATTAAAATCACAACACCTGTTCAGTACTGAACGTTCATAATGGAGTCTGCCAATGTACATAAGAAGTCACAGAATTTACGGATCAAAGGCTTCCATAGCAGTCTGAACAAAGATGGTGCACGTCTTGGTTGTTGTGACGTGTAGTATTTTGGTTATATGACGATGTTCCATAGGAACACACTGCCTCATTATCTCAGGATTGAAATGAGGAGTATTAGAAAGTGAATTTTAATAAGGGTTTAGGAGGAGGATCAGGCAATGGGGTTGGCCAATCAGAGTCTTGCAATCAGGATGGGACATGGCGTCCATGCCAATAGGAAAAATCACTCTTTCAAGGCACCAGACACGAACAATTGATGAGGAGAAAGAGGGGATAAAAACAAACAAACAAGAGATGGTCATGATCTTATTCACACCCTGAAAGAACAGAAGAAAACTGTCCAAGAGAAAGACTTATTCTTGATCACACATTCCGTCCAGGTACTTAAAAGGGCCAGTTTTTCTTGTCTCTCTCCCCTTACCCACTATTCAAAAAGGGCTTATTTGCATTAGCTCAGACACACCTCTATCTCACATAATCATTTCAATCCTCTAGTTCCATGCTTCCAGATGACAGTGGAAGCTGACTATTGTATTATACATACCTGAATCCAATACAGTAGCTGGAGGTGTCATGGCTGATGATATGCTGTCGACAGCAAGTTCGAGTTCGTCTTGCATCTGTATATTGAGAATACTTGTTTAATTCTTACTTCATAATACATTACACATTTATTTAAACCATACAGAATACTGTGCAACTTACCACAGCAAAACCCGTCTCTGTTTCTTCACACAGATCACCGTCTTGCGTCGATTTATTTGATTCAGGAATATTATCTGTGCGCATCTGACTCACATAGGCACGGATTTTCTTTAACATAAATCCAGGTGCTTCAAAGCCTTTCAACTCATTAAGCAGAAGATTCGGATTGTTTCTATAAAAGAATACACAAGAGTTTAGGACTTCATCGCTCGACTCATAGGGCAATACGTTCTCTCACGCCACAGTTTCAGGTGCACATTCACTGGGAACTGTATGTGATGTGCCAAAATAAAAAACAAACATTTCATATTACATTTCAAGTGCAGCAGAGTTCATACAAGTGTTATATTCTATACATACACAAATAAAATACAAACACGGATGTTTAAAGGTTAAGGGGGATGCATGGTGCAGGAACACAGCAGTAAAAGGAATGCTCAGTATGTGATAACTTGATTCATGTCCCACTCAGCACATACCAGCCTGTCTCATGAAGCACTGCTCAGCTTTCAAACCTTCAAAAGATAATTAAAGCATGCCTGTAGGGTCTAACCTGTATTCATCACTTTCAGCGAGTTCCTGGATATCTTCAAGGACCATAAGGTATGCTTTACTACCTGTGGGTGGCATTAGATTGTGTCTCGATAACCATTCTTTGTCTTCTTGGTCACCGGAATACTTGAAGATGTCTGGATGCTTGATGTACAAACGACCTCGTGTTTGGCCAAAACCCAACACCTTGTTAGCCCTAAATCACAACAACAAAAGAGGAAAATAAATTCGGCTCATGAATCTCTCACAATTACAAAAAAAAAAAGTCTAATTTCAGATGGTGAAGTCAATCTCTTCATAACAAATAATGTGAGGAACAGCCAAGAACATGCAAAGTTTTAAAGCATAAAATGTTTTGCTTTAACTTATTTTCAGACATAATAAAGTCTCTGACACCTTAAACTACTGATGTTCGAAATGTCAGTTGGTGAAGTCACTGATATGAATCTCAACTTTACTAAAGCCGCAGGTACTACTTTAGTGCCTCACACTTCTCTGTATCTGATTCAGTCCTATCTAATGTCATTAAAGGAGACAAAATCCCCACTTACTTTTCCTCCTTGTTCCCTCTTTTCTGCCCCTCCTATCTCTACAGGCTACCCCTTCCACGCAGGTTTTCCACTGAACCTCAAGAAAAGGCTAAGCACTTTATAAAGTTGTGCTTTTGTCTCTGTCTCCACCGGCCATCAAATCGTGAATCAAATAGAACAGTTCCTACTATCCTGTGGACCTGTACTACGTCGGCAGGGCCCCTGATGAAGGATACAGCGTAAAGATCTCCAAAACTCTGGCAATACAGCTTAAATGTACACAACACCATCACCCAAAACCCTGGTCTCCTAACATCGTGTTGAGCCAGTCCAGACACATGCTTGTTGATCCGTAGTGGAATACCCACATTTACCCAGGCACGTACAAGACCCCATATCAACCGAGTTACTGAAAATAGCAATCCGAGAAGCAGTCATTCGTCCCTACATTTAATTCATACCCATATTTGAAAACAAAGTTCACTGGCATTCAAAATCACCCATACCAACATCACCAATCCAAGGAGAAGGGATGAAGCTGGCTTGGATGACGTCAAAAGTGAAGACAACCACTGACAGAGAAAACAGATCCCGATTACCGACACAAATCTCCGATAGGTCTAGGGCACCCAATTGGCTCAAAATAGTGATGAGTCAATGGAAACCAGACAAATTATAAGTAGCATGATCAATGCAGGTACAATCGCCAAAGCGACACCTAATTATACACGATGCCCACTGTAGAAAAGTAACAACGCAAATTATCATTATTTTTCTCCGGCTCTCTTCATGAATGACTTGTGCAATGTAATCACAACGTACCGTGCACCCATAATAAAAAAGGTGTTTTTTCCAATTCTTGCAGGATTCCACTTCGGCCCTTCACGACGAATGGGTTCGCCTCTTCCTAATTTCATAGGTGTAAAACGCCCTGAAGGAAAACTCCCAGGAGGGCAAGGTTTGCTTCGTTTTCTGCGTGCCGACTGGCTGGCCTCTGAATCTGTATCAGATTCTTTTCTCTTCTGGAACAAGGGACTCTGGTTGGTCATTAGAGGCTTAATATTTATAATGGGAATAAAACTAATACAAGTTATTTTGTAACTAAACATTCAAAGTATTTTTAATAAAATTAAAGATATACTAATATATTATAAATAGTTAAATAACACAGAGGGTCACTTAACAAAATTATCATAATTATATCTCCCTACATGTAACACTAAACACTGTCTATAAAATATTAATTTTTCCAGCTGTTTTGTATGTTTCTGAAACGTGGTCACAAATTACAAGTTACTGAAAAGAAAGTATCAAGGAAGTAATTAACACATACAAAGTGGAAGTAAGTTGGCGATTCAGAATATTACATAACAAGGAACTTCATGATTTGCCAGCAAACCTAATATAAAATCATCATGTGATTTGACTGCTCCAAAGGAATTTCCTCGAAGTCAGAACAAGGAGTTCTGAGTAGAATGCATAAAACCTATTGCGAAGACCTGCAGCCCCAGTATCTTGCGCTGTTAACGTAAATTTAGAATCCAGCAATGAAATGCAGTGTGTTAATGTGCCTGAGAAGAACATAATCCAAGTGATCACAGCCATGAAAACTTCACAGCTCATATTACATGACAGTCAACACAAGATCCATAAGACAGCAAACTGCACAACAGAAAAGAAGTTTTACATCTTCTGCTTGGAACTCACTGCTCTCCTCATGAAACAAAAATAAGATTAAAAAGAGAGAACAGTGCTGGTAGAAAAAAAAGGAAAGTACACCAAATTAGAGGCGCTACGCCAACGTCCGGCCATCCTACATCAGGAAAAAATAAACAGTATCTGTGATTATATTTATACGTAGGCCACAATCTGCCTGAAGACACAGTACACCACTTACACGTGTATTTGGTCTGCCAAAGCGGTTCTCCCCAATACTGCAAGTTTCAGAGTCACTAAGCTCATTGAAAGGCGAACTGCCTCTGGACTGTGAGCTGCTGCAGTACATCTGCTTTGCGTCCTCCAGTATCTGACGACACACGTCTCGCAAGTGTTCTTCAGACACGCTACTTGGTCCCAAGTTGTTTCTTATGTTATCCACTGCCGGCTGAAAGAACTTCTGTGACATAACAAAAGAGCCACTTGAAATTATGCGGCAGAGTTGGACTAATCTAAAGTAAATCGCAAGACAGACATGCACCCAAATGCGTTAATTATCTTAAGAAACTAGTTTGAATGAATGAATGAATAAATAGTGGTCAATTAACTGCAACCTATGGTCACAGGGGATTTTTTGTGGTTTTCTTCAGTGCCCCCAGGGAAATTCCAGGATACTGACATCATTAAATGAACCATAAATAAATTATTAGTAACATTAAATTATATACACAGCATGAATGCCTCAGTATGGAACAAATTATAAAGCTCATAACTGTGAATTTTCTGAATCATCCTTATGTTTCTCAGAAACCTTTCCCTGTGGTGACAAACTATTTCACGCCAATGTAAAACAAGTGAAATTTTAGTGTTGTGTATTTTAGATAACAGACAGGAAGATGAAAGACTGTGGACTGAATGGCAGCAGGCATTCTCAAAATTTTACCTGCGCTTTTCCAGACTATGTGCACTCGTTTGCTAAATTCTGCATCCACTGCAATTTGCTCTTGTTTGCTTTGATCTAATAATTCTGAGCTCTGTTATTCAAACCACGGTTTGTTCTGATTCGACTCATAACAACATAGACCGTCTTTGGCAGAATAATATAATGCCATGTCCACATTTTCATCCACGTTTTCCAAATTCATTTTAGGCTGACACTGTTCTTGAACTTCAGGATCATTTAGCTGTCAAAATTCTTATTATACATAAGTGACATAATAAAACTTGTGTTCAAACCTCCAAATATTTCTTAATGATGGTGTCAATCTCCTTGTTGGCGGCAGACTGGATGTTCTGTCTGAGAATATCGAGTGACTTCGCTGTGCTCGTGATGCATCTCCCTCGGAGTCTGTTCACCGGAACCTGAGGCCTGGACGGGGGACGCGACCCGAGGTGACTGACAGCTAGGTTTGAGAGCGTCACTTGCCGCATGTTGAATGTGTTTTTCTGAAATAAAGTGCAAACACAAAACCACAAACAATTACATGCAAGTCTGCTACACAAAATTTTGTGTATGTGCTAGACCACAGACAGTTCAAGGCATTATTTGATAGAAATTAATGTACCCAACCATTAGAATGAACACAGACATGTGTAACAACGACGAACAACTGTTGCAAAGGTCAGGAATGGACTGGCAACTAACTGTTGAACATTCTGCAAATGTTGCTGACAAACACACTGACTTGCATAAACATTGATAAATTCACAAGAACTTTACTTAATTCTTACATAAAATTAGATATTATTAACAGCATATCTGGTGATTATATTTATACAGGTTTAATAATGATGAAATGTGTAACATTTCTTCACAGAGTCATGACTTTATTAAACCAAACATAAATGTGAAATGTGTTTATGGGATTGATAACGGTGACATCTGATGAAAATTCAAACATTAAAATCTTGTTTAACCTCATAAGCAAATGTCAGAAAATAATAATGGACAACCTCTGTCAACGACTAAGTGAGTACTAAACTTAAAGTACCTTAATTATACATTAGTGATGAATAACTACTAACATGCCACTTAATACTACGGTATGAGACAATAATGAGTGAACAATGGTAGTATACATAACATAAACTTCAGCTTTGGTAAATGTATTTAAACATGTGATAAAATGTATGATTAAACTAACAGTTCAACTCCCATTATATCACGTCTGTGTTCAAGCATACATCAACTATGCTCATGATTATGTGCACCACAGGTTAAAAGAAAAGTCATTTGAAAATTTAACATCAACTATCAACAAAGTTTAGGCATCACAAAAACTAACATTTTTTTGGAGCACATACCCATTCAACCAGAGTTTGTGAATCTACTGACGGAGTAGAAGATGGTACAACCATGTTGCATCGCAAAGCAGGGGAGGTTCTACTGGAGTCTGTTACAATGGAAGTTGTTCTCATAGAGTTTGCATCATAGTCTTGACCATGTTTCATGAAATGTGGTGACTGTTGCTGTGTTTCTTGGTGTTCCTGAATGTCAGCAGAAGCCACAGTCCAAGTTGATGTGCCTCGTTGGACAACCATGTCTATGAAATTCAATGTTCACACAATAGTGGAACCCATTACATAAAATGAATATGAAGGCCACCACAATTTCGTGCATTACTCAGATAAATAATCAGTATTTAATACAATACCACAACAAAAAACATGGACTCAGCAAAACGTTCTACACCCATTCGACAACCTCACGGAATAAAATAAGATTTAGAATTATAACTAATATATTAACTGCAACTTTCTCGCAACAAAAATGCTGATTCAGTAAAATGTTCTAACCCCATTTCACAAATTTATGTAATAAAATCATATTAAACTAGTAAAATTATAAACAAACGCACATCAGGGTAGACGATTCTTTTCGATAAGTCACAAACATGCAGATGTATAAAACTGATCTTACTTCTAATGCAAGATAACTTTTCTTTCCTGATCACTCATATTCAAAATCCAACACATCTCTTTGTTATTTTGATTGAAGATACAATACTGACCTAGTCCAATAGATGGCAGAGAGTGCGATAATGGGTGCCAGGGATAACCAAATTACAAATAGTCCAAAAGAAACATTACAGACCATAAAATTTCGTAGTAATAAAGGATCAGAGACATACGATTAAAAATATGTATGATTAGGTCCCTGAATATTCCAACAATATTAAAAGTAGGAATTGCGATACATATAATTTTCAGTTTATCAAAATGGTTCCTCCTGAATATTTGTACTCTTTGAAAATAGATTATGACCAGGGCGGCCATAATACGTATTTCTGTTCTGTGCTGCTACCTATTGCGAAAATAAGCAAACGATGAAAGAATGTTTCAAGAATGTACCACAGATGACCTCAAAGATCGATTGAAAAGCACTTCTACCAACCTACGTGCGTGGCTAACAGTACGGCATTTATGTAATTAATGTTCTCTCATTGTTGTCCAGTGCAATGTACACGTGTCATACAGATTGCTTACAAAGTGTATTTGTGAGCTTCAAACAATTCTCAGCGTAAACTGATCTTTGTAATGGTGACGTGTCGAAAGTCGTTTTCTGGGTAACAATGCCGTGTGGCTCGTTTAATTTTGCATTTAAAATTGCAAGGAAGAATAATAAATGGCCTCATAAGATATTATTTATAAGTGCCAAGTCACCTCGGCAATGGTCTGTAGAAGAGAATAGTCTCAAGAAAATCCAGATGAAAAACATTTATTTGAAAGAAATATCAACCCTTAATAAACCAAAGCGTTTCCATTACATATGTTAAGATGGGTTTGTCCTTTGTATCCACTGACATTCCTAAGGTGTTATACATCACGCTAGAGCGTAAAGAACACCTAATTGTGGCTGGTTGCTGTGAAAATCAGAGATTAGCGTTTGAAATCCTGGCGCCAATAATGCATACCAATCTTAGTTCAATTATTCGGCCACTAGGTGTCACTATGTGCTAATGACGGTCCAGCAGAGAGTGAGAGAGAGAGAGAGAGAGAGAGAGAGAGGCGAAACGGGAATAGGAGAAAGACCATAGAGAAAGATGAGTGTATGTGTGAACACCACGGGTGGAAAGAGAGGTGACGAGAGTGGGAGAGAAGGTATACTACCAGCACGAGACAAGTACAAGATGGCGACCATGCGGCGGGTGACGGTGGTTGTCAGTTGTCCGTTGGCAGTAGCCATGAAGGGGCTGTTGTCGTGTCGCGAGCCGTGTTCTGTGATGGTGATCACACTGTGTAGTTGGTGATGATGGTTAGCCTAGCCCGTCTCAAGAGATTGGTCCAGGGCCTAACGCTGGTGGCTGTGGCAGCCTACTCCACTCTCCTGCTGTACCAGAGCGTGTCCACTGCACCCTCAGGCTCGTCACTACTACAGCCGCGGCAACAGGTAGGTGGTTTACCCGCGTTCGTAGGGACTTTTCTATCTCGAAGATGGAGGCGGTACGTTGGTAGCCGCATTTCTAGAGATCTTCAAGTGTCATAGTCGAACAGGCATGACAAATGCTCTCTAGTGACTTGAGGTTAGGTTACAACGGTGGCTGAGTGGTTCAAATCACGAAGCGTGCGTATATTGTCCTCTGTAGATGGCAGCATGACCCGATGTCGAATGCAGTCCCAGCAGCCCTTCTTCAAAGTGCCTGTAATGTTTCAGTGATACCCCCAGAATTAATTGTAAATCTGAACAAGCCACGAAAAACTCTGCGATAAACTGATACTGGGTTAGTTGATACTAAGAATCGGGAGTTTAAAAACTCATTCGTGAGAAGCTGACAGTGGTCGCTGGTCAAGAATATATTGAACCCGAAGGTCCATTACCATGTTCACAAGAGCCCGCCACTGGTCCCTATTCCGAGCCAGATGAATCCAATCCATAATTATCATAACTAGACAATTATTTTAAAACCCATTTTAATATTATCTTCCCGTGTAATCGCAGTTCTTCCAAGTGTGCATTTCGCAATCCATGCATGCTACATGTCCCGCCCCCTCACATGAGTAATTTCATCTCTGTTTTAATATCTGATGGATGTTCGTCCAGACGGCCGGTGGCTCCTGGCAGCTGGTGGCGGCCATTAGCAGTTCTCCACGTGTGTAATTTTGTAGCAGGTAGAAACACGTGTTTTGTTCCCTCCAGCACACAATAGAACTCCGGTTTTAGGGTTTTCCCTGCCGACTAATCAGATTTTGGGAGTATTTGTCGATATTTCAGGTTCTCAGTATGAAATGGCTGTCGTGCCATGTGGCCTGGTAACCTGATGAAGGCTGAACTTCTACCAGACGACAGCCATTTTATTGGGACCAATTGTGAACATCGTCGACACTTGTTCCCAAGAACACCGAATCCTCTGGCATAGAGACTGTTTCCATGAGAAGCTAATTGTCGCTCAGCCAGTCCGTAAATCCCCCCCCCCATCTTTTCTGCAACCCACCGCTGGACTGTCGTAAGCCAGATGAATCCAATCAACACCATCTTCCACCGTTTCTGATCCTTGGACTGATTAAACAGCAGAACCTGTTCCAAGGGCCAATGAATAATCTTCCTGTTGAAGCTCCTCTGATATTTACTCCCAAAGATGTTTTGTATTTACCTAAACGCGGGGGTGGGGGTTGGAGTTACAGCCCCCCCCCCCACAGAAATGTGCTGGTTTTTGGACTGGAGACTCGATGAGAAAATGCTCTGAACAGAACGGTTTAACATATTTCTTCGTGAATGGTATATTGATTTGTCACTGTTGTTCACAAATATTTGATCTTCGCAGCTTTTTCTAAGTATTTCTTAATTATCTCTCGTCCTTTAAAGCCCAGTTGTAAATATACGTCGTTCCTAGAACATTTCGCTCGCAGTCGGAAAACTTCTGACGTCCAAGCTTCCACATATAATGTAGTTCGTTTCGCGAATTGAACCTTGGCCCCCCCTTATCTGGAGTGCCAGAACCTGAACCCTTCAGAAGAGGATATGAAAATATGGGAAATGGTCGCATAATTATGGGTGGCGACGTAATTTACGAAGTTACGTAGCAAAATTACCGTCGTCAGTCCATTTTCTTTGTTGAGTACAATTTGCAATTTACTGTTCAAATAATGCTAAAGACCACAATTTCGTAACATAACAATTTTACTAAATAACAAAGAACTTACGTAAATTTGTAATTAATATGAAATTATGTGCATGTATCCTTGAAGAAGTCGCTTTAATATGCAGAGACACGATCCAGACTTGAGCAAGGGCCCAATAGTACGTGATGTGATTTAAGTTAAGCGGTGGTTGTGTCTGATGTACGTACACACTGGAGACAGTTAATTAAGTGAAGCCACACGCATTCATCTGAAGGCAAAAAGTCTGACATAATTGTGGCGAGTTCCCTGTATGCAGCGCTGCGTTTGAGGGGGCGAGAATTTTCTACAGTTTTCCAGTTTATCTTAAAGGAGCGTGGGAGTGGAACTTCGTTTTCCGGCTTTGGGGGATGTCACAGAATGGGGGGCGTATGAGAGCATGGGGGACATGAGAAGTGCGTACAAAATTTTTACCGTAAAACGAAGAAAACAATATCGAAACGAAGTTTAAAGACGAAGATGGCTGTCTTCGGGGTTGTAGCGACGTGAAGTTTACTGACATGTCACAGGTAACTACCGCCTTCATCATCAGAACTCATCGCCCTGATGATGGAAGCAGCCAGAACCTCTGAAATGTCGGTAAACTTCACGGCGCTGCACCCAGAAGACGGCCATCTTGAGACCCACCGCTGTTAGGACCTCAAATCCGACACTGAGTGTGCGTTGGATGTATCTAGCTCTGGATAGGGATCAATACGTGGCTGTTGTGAACGCGGTAATGAACCTTCGCGCTCCAGAAAAGGCGACTGTCTCGCACATAAGGCCAGTAATGTGGTTAACTACCCAGAACGGCCTCTGTGGTTTACCTGTTGTCCTGGTAACAGGAGGCGACGCGGCTGTAGGCTTGACACGAAAATAACAACAGAAGGTTCATTGGCGTTCTCAGACACTGACCCAGAGGTGGCTATGTATACCCAGTGTTTCAGTAATCTGTCCCCCTGTCCACAGAGTAAAACAGCGATTATTTCCTTTGAAGCGCTTGTGTTCTGAGCCAGAGTCTGCCCCCAAAAATCTCAAGAATTGTTCCGTTTGGCGGGTTGCAGGTATCTGGGTGGCAGGAGAGGGCCCCGCGGTCCGTGTCCAGGGACTATGACGCCGCCAATCTGGTCATCCCTGGGACAGGTCGCAAGAATCGAGGCACCAAAGTTACGAGCAGAGGCGTCGCTCAGAGCAAGTACAACGGCTTCGTACTCGCGACTGGGACCAGCAGACCCGTGGGGACTCAGTTGACTGACCTGTTTATAAGCGTGAAGACGACTCATAATTACCACAAGTGGAGACTTCCGGTCATTCTGAAGACGTGGTTCCAGCTCGCGAAGGACCAGGTAAGGACCACTTCATTGCGCATGTCTCAAGCCCTTCTCCCTCAGGTCTCTGTACGCCACAAAGAGGCGCTGGCTGAATGACCGGGGTTCGGTTCCCCGATTTACCTTTTCACAAGTGCCGAAGCGATGGATATCTGGGGTTCTTTCGCATGGGGACAAGCTGCCGGAGCTCACCCGTACCTCGTGTCGAGGTTAAGATGGCGTCATGCGTCATGCCGTTGGTTTTGCCGGGCATTTGGTCGCACTGTGTCGTGTGGCCAAGCCACCCGTTGGCTGAAACACTGCTTGCGTGTTGTGTTTGTAGTTGCTGGAGGGCTTCGCCGTGGGAACAAGACCTCCAGCCATTATTAATCCCTGAACTTTGCCCTCCATCTCGTCTCATCTGATCTTCCTCACTCACCACTCCGCCAGCATGCATCGCGTTCCGAATTCACTTCGCTG